TTGTTGTTATTATTATTGTTATTGTTGTTATTATTATTGATATTGTTATTATTGTTATTATTATTATTTTTATTATTATTTATATTATTATTATTATTATTATTATTATTATTGTTATTATTATTATTGTTGTTATTATTATTGTTATTGTTGTTATTATTATTGATATTGTTATTGTTATTATTATTATTATTATTGTTATTATTATTGTTATTATTGTTATTATTGTTATTATTATTATTGTTATTGTTATTATTATTATTATTATTATTATTATTATTATTATTATTATTATTATTTATATTATTATTATTATTGTTATTGTTATTATTATTATTATTATTGTTATTGTTATTATTATTATTATTATTGTTATTGTTATTATTGTTGTTATTATTATTATTATTGTTATTATTGTTATTATTATTATTATTATGATTATTATTATTATTATTATTATTTATTGTAAGTGACCCGCCTTAGCCTCGTCACTACTTTGCCGAGGTAAGCTCGACACTTACAGAGTACATGGGGTCGATTGTACTCATACTGCACTCTGCACTTCTTGTGCATATATCGAAGTTGGTCCCAGCTACGCTGAGTGATGTTGCTCGGACCTAGCTATCAGTGGAGACTTGAGGTATAGCTGCATGACGTCCACGGCCCTAAAGTCCCCTTCTACATTATTTAAGCTGTTTATTTGATTTAGACAGTTATATTTATTTCAGACCATTATCTGTAGTACTCTAGATGCTCATGTATTCATGACACCAGTTCTGGGATTTGTATTTGGATTTTGCCCCTTATTAGTTTATTCCCTTGTGTCAGACTATTCAGTTTTATCATTGTCATTTAAGTTAGAAATTATTAAAAAAGGTTAATAGATATAACTAACATTGGCTTCCCTAGCAAGTGAAATATTATACGCCATCACGGTCCCGAGGGTGGGAATTTTGGGTCGTAGCAGTAGGCCACAACCTCTTAACAATAACAATACAAATATCACCACAATATATAATCTACGGCTCAAACACGATGTGTACAAAATCTTAATAGCAACAAAATGAATGGGGAGCGTATCTCAACAATGAACAATACCCAATTAAATAACAACTTCAACTAAAACAGTTTAATGACTTTCAATAGCTTCAACTTTAATTAATTTCTTAAGAATAAACTCAATAATGAAGGTATTTCCATGGAATGACAAGCTTCGAATTCTAATGTATGACATAAGCTAACAATGAAAGAGATGGCATGAACTAGCAACTACATCTCAATGCATGAGAATAACCAGATAAAAAAAGGATATCATGTAACAACAATTTCAATTAAATACATGAAATAAGCACAAGAGTCAATTTTCACATATAAGCCCGAGTACGCACTCGTCATCTCGCGTACACGTGTTTCACATAATTCAATTAATACAATCAACCCAAATCCTAAGGGTTAGTTTCTCCTACACAATGTTAGGCAAGATACTTACCTTAAAGAAACTAAATCGATACTCTAAATAGACCATCCTGTGTGAAACAACCTCCAGACGACTAAAATCTAGCCAAAATAACTTAATATCATAAATAAAAGCCATAGGAAATAATTCCGAATAGTAAAACTTCGATCTTTAATAAAAACCAAAAAGTCAACTCTAGGCTCGTACCTCAAAACCTGACAAAATATAAAATCCGAACACCCATTCCGATACGAGTCCAACCATATAAAAATTATCCAATTCCGACCTCAAATCAGCCTTCAAATCATCATTTTATGTTTTAGAATTTTTTTACAAAAGTCCCCAATTTTTCCAATCCTAATCACTAATTTAATGATAAAACAAAGACGGAATCATGAAATATAACCAAATCCTGGTCAAGAATAAATACCCCAATCCAAAACGTGAAAATCTCCTCCAAAATTGCCCAAATCTGAGCTCTCTAACTCAAAAAGTGATAAAATAACAAAAATCCTCAAAATAGAGTAAATATAAGTTTACCCAGGTGCTCCTCTTCGCGATCGCAGAAGTACAAAATACAAGCTGCCAAAAAATGTTATTCATGAACACGAAAACTCAGCTGCGAACGTGACTCACAGTCTCTAGTAGACTTCGCGAACGCTTGAGTCGACTCACGAACTCGGAAGGCAAACACCTGGCTGCCTTTTTCAGCCCTCACACTATGCTAACGCGAAAGCAAAGTCGCGAATGTGATGAACTCAACCCTTCAATGCTACACGAACGCGACCACAGCTACGCGAACGTGGTGAACAAAGCATTAGACTCCCAAATGACCCTTCGTTATCGTGTGCATACCTCCTCGAACACGATGAACTGTAGATATAAGAAAAACCAGCAATAACAAAATATGAAAAAATGGCCCGTAGCCCATCCGAAACGCATCGGAGGCCCCTGGGACCCCCTCTGAACATATCAACAAGTTCCATAACGTAATGCAGACCTAGTCGAGGCTCCAAATCATATCAAACAATATCAAAACTACGAATCGCACCTCAATTCAAGCCTAATGAACTAATGAACTTTCAACTTCTACAACTCATGATGAATCATATTAAATCAACTCAGAATGCCCTCAAATTTTACATGCAAGTCCCATATAACTCAACGGAGCTATATCAACTCCCAGAACCATAATTCGAACCCGATATCAATAAAGTCAACTCCCGATCAAACCTCTCAACCTTCCAAACCTTCAACTTTCCAACTTTCACCAAAAAATATCAAATCAACCTACGAACCTCCAAATCTAAATCGAGACATACGCCTAAGTCCAAAATCACCATAAGAAACTGTTGTCATCAAAATACCATTCCGGAGTCGTCTATATAAAGTCAAACTCCGATCAACTCTTACCGATTAAGCTTCAAAAATAAGAATCATTCTTCCAAATCAATCCCGAATCACCTGAAGACTGAAACAGACCATGCACGCAAGTCAAAATATACAATATGAAGCTGATCGAGACCTTAAACTATCGAATGAAATGCTAAATCTCAAAACAACTGATCGAGTCATTACAAGCGTTCATTCGTCATATTCGACTATTTTCTTTGAATTCAAATGAACCCTAAGGCTTCAATGCCGCTATAAATATAGCCTTTAATGATCTCACCAAACACAAACAAACACACACTAAAAGAGGACGAACTACCAAAAACCTAAGTAAATACTATCTATTAAATAGTTTGAATTCCTTCTCTAATTTATTTTCTTTCTTTCACTTCTGACTAAGTTCGATCACTGTGAGTTGATTGTCAGATTGAGCTCTTATACGACTAGTGATCGCCTTTACTTGGTTTGCTGCTCTGAAGAAGGTCAGTAAACACTGACCCCCTCTTTATTCTTCGGTTATTCATGTGTTGTCATGTAATTCTTTGTTTGACATTTTTCTATTAATTACCTGCTTGCTCTTCATGATGTTCATCAGTAAACATGTGACTTTCCTGTTGTGTTCTGATTTTGTGTTATTCTTGTTTTAAGTTAATGATGCTTTCTTGATAGTTATGTTTATTTCTGTGTTGTTGCTAAATCAATGCTTTATGATGGTCGTTGGACTCTATTTTTTATGACTTAGCTAATTGAAATAATTTTAAACTATTGTTACCCTTATAGGTAGTCTTGTTGATTCCTCATGTTAGTTGAACTAAACCCTATGTTTGTGGCTATGTGTGACCTACACTCTACTGATTGAGTAACAACTATATTTACACTGTCATGCTTGCTAAGTTGACTGAATAGTGTTCTTAAACTTTTTCTAATATCCTGTTTAACTAGCTAAGATCTTTATACCTAAATCATTATGTTGTCTTAACCCTCAAGCTTACAGTGTCATGTTGCTTTGGTTTAGTCCATTGAATGACTCTCATCAATGGTCTTGTTCTTGTAATCTTGTTGTTTGCGTAACTAGGTGACTCTAGTTGACAATTTGCTCATGATACTATATTGTTCTGCAAAGTTGAGGTATAATGGCTCATGTGTGCTTATCATGACAACTTGAATAAAAGAGAATCCTGTGGTAAACTTTGGTGGCATGACTTACTTTTAATAGAAAACTAGTTTACTTGTCTAAAATGGCAACTTGTCGTCTTCTGCTTATCCTTCCTTGGTCAACTATAAAATGAGTGTTTACTTTTATTATTTCATGATCACTTGATAACACTATTTAGATGGTCCTCATTTATGAACCTGAGTATTGTTGATTCTGACAATTTTAGAGTTTGATGGAATGTGCATTATCATTAGATACCTTGCATGTTAGGTTTAAATAAGACTAAGTTATCCCTCCTATTCATGCTAATGTCTCTGTTTTCCCAGTTGATTGGTATGCTCTTTTATGAATTCTGAATAAGGTAAAAGCACATGTGCTTAATATAAAAAATTTCCAACTGTATGAATACTCTCTTAGAAGAATTATTCTGAATGCTGTTATAATGTTCTATAACATGCTCTAGTGATTTGAACCTACTTAAGGAAGATTCTGAAGTGCTGGACCTTTAGTGAAGTTAATAAATAAGTGCATATATTTATCTTTGTCAACTGATGATGCCTTAAACTACTTACTATGACCTTCCTGAACCTGAATTTGTGAGTAGCATATTAAGGCTTACCTTCAAAAGTTCAGTCAGCTATTTGTGCTTGATGGCCTTTCTTAAGTGTGATTACGCCGTGAATGACATGCCATATGGAATGACTTAGAATTAGACTTTAAACCTTCTAAGCTGTTAAGACTTTGGGAGTTCATGTATGTCTGACAATTATCACAGTTTAGAACTCAGATATGTGTTAATCATTGGCTATTTGTGACTTTGCATTCTAGTGATAACTTCACTTTATAGAATGGTTGTCTGACTTGAACTATTGATGCCTCTATGTGATTGAACCTCCTGAATGTGTTATGAAATCTTCTGTACCTTTGCTGGTGTGTTTTATGTTGGCTGTATAAGGTTGCTATTTGGTTGCAATGCCAAGTTGATGCTTGTTTGTGCTTAAACCTCTGAAGAAAAGTGAGGTACAATTCTTAAGGATATTTTTGTGTGAGCCTGACTTTATGATTAAGGACCCCCTCCCTAGAAAAAACATTGCTCGGGTCCATGAGGTTCTCGTGAACTCTAAAGTGTCAGGGGTTCATAGGGAACCTTATAAATAAATACGATTTACTGTAAGCCCATAGTCATTGACCTTGACTAATCTTCATAGGATTAACACAAACGCAACTCAACTTTGCCATATTCTTTAGATCCTGTTCTTATTCATTATAACTTTATCTTACTTCACCTTTTACATTTACATATTCTAATTAATTTTTCTTCTTTTCTTTGTATGATCATTGGACCTGTTGAGTTCATTTAGAACTCAGGCCCAGATTCAGGAAATTGGGATACTTCCTTGTCACACGTTGGAGTCTGCCGCTGATTTGAGTATAGCTGGGCCTCGTTACTTGCCCACCCAATATTGAGAGTCCAACCTTCCTTCCCTTTATTCAAATTGTTGTTATTATTATTTACTTTTTTCGTGTATATGTCTTTGAAGAACTAACATTATTGTTGTATAATCGTTGCTATCTTGATTGTTTAGGCTGATTTTAGGCAAGTGAAAAATCTAATAAATAAAAGGTAATTGTGACTTCAAATATTAATCATTTTAAAACAACCTTAACACCTTTTGAAATCTAAACGCTCTTGAAACTAACTATTTTGGCAATTAAACTTTCTTTTGCTTACATATCTTTTAATTAGTTTTGTTTATTTATAGGCATCGACAAAACCTGGATGAGTTAAAAAGAAACATAATTTAAATGAGTCTAGACGAAAACAATTCCTTTGAAAGGTCTTCAAAATGAATCATAAGCAAATAAACTGTTTTAACACAATAAGGCAACTGTACCCGACCAGATTTGAAAGGAATATAACATCAATAATTTTTGAAAATACAAGGGCTTCTACTAGAACGACTTTCCAATAAACAAACAAGGTATACCCGTTTGATAAATAACATATATTTGTAACAATCTCTTATTTCATAAAGTATAAAGATTCTCATATAAGTATTATAATTTTAAAGAAGATACCCATCTTTTTCTCAAAGTAAGAGATAAGTTTTTCAAAAATAATTAAAATTGTTTTGCTGACTTTCACAGAGTCCTATTTAGCAATTTTCACCACTAAGAAACTAGGATATAAACGCATCTCTCCTCGTACCTAGCCTAAGTTTAAGGAGCTACCTCAGGTAGATTTTAAGGGATGCTTAACACGTCACTCTTAGAATAAATAGAACCCTTACCCGAATCTCACTAGTTGGCAGACCATTAGGACAATAATTTTCATAGACCTATAAGTACCCTAGTATACCTTAAATATTAGGTGGCGACTCTTTCTTTTATCAACTTTAGAGGAACTACAAGTTGTATTTTATTTTGACATGTGCAAAATAGGGTGCAACAATATGGTGACTCTGCTAGGGATGTTTACACTTAGGTTCTGACCTTAGCAGAATTAGGCTAGACTTTGAACTCGAGGATGTTTGGTTATACTCTACTTTATTGTATGTTTAACCTGCAAATATGTGTTTACTTGCTTACACTTTACATGACAATATAACTAGCAAATATGTGCTCACTTTCTTTATTCTTAACATTATCACTAATTCACCATAATTACCTGTTACTACTTTATACACTTTAGCACATTTTCATATCGAGTCTTGGCCGTATACAATCACACACAATTCACGTAAGGGTTGTCTTTTCACCTCTCCGAACCTTCTTTTTAAAACTCTCTAGTTTCATAGAACGACCTTGTCCAACCAGCTGACATATTGTCTCGCAATTATTTAGTTCAACTCCAAATTTAGGAAATATTCTACTCTTAGAAAATATAGGTCATGGTGCACCTCGAGGTTTCAATTTCTTCACAGTAGTACCTCCATTGACTTCGGCTTTACTAATGAATAAATTGGCTTCGCTGGAACCCATATTGTATCTAGCATTTGCTGCTGCAGAATAAACCAATTTCAAAATGGGATAACATGCTCGATAGAGCATGAGTTCTAGTATCATAAGCGTTTCCACATAGGAACGACCGCGAATTTGATCAATTATTCTTCGTGCTTTGTTAGCAGACATAGATATATGTTCACCTAAATCATATACTTCTGTTTTTTTCTTCTTTAGCATAAGGTTTGCCTCCTCCTACTGAATCATAAGCATCTAGATTTTTTTAATTAATATTAACGACGAGATCTATTATCGCTTTTTGCATGTCGTCTAAAATATAATGTAGGTGAAAATTCTCCCAATTTATGGCATACCATACTATCCGTTATATAAATAGGCAAATGCTCTTTTCCATTATGGATAGCAATAGTATGACCGATCATTGTGGGTATAATGGTAGATGCCCGGGANTATTGTAGGTATAATGGTAGATGCCCGGAGCCAAGTTACTATTATTTCTTTTTCCGTTTTTGTGTTAAGCTTATCAATTTTTTTAAATAAATGATTGGCTACAAACAAACTTTAGGTGGATAAATCCTTGGTATTGACTCATAATTAGAAAAGCTACCCTATGTCAATAGGTCATGCACCCAACGACATGCCTTTTGTGGAACGATAAATTAACCAAGATAAGACATCAAGGATTCAGAGCGAAACATTACCTCGCCTTTCTCCCCTTTTAGATGGAAATCAACCCCAACATACTGAAAATTAGCATGGTCATGGGAGCACCTCCCAAGTTAAAATAATGGTGGAGAAATTTTGAATGAGAGCACAGAGACGGAATCAGAGCACACCTAGGGGCACTGACCGCATTGATAAATGTATGAGTTGATCGGCTACTCACCAGGTTGCTAATAGAGTTTTGGGATCTAGTGAAAGCGATTTTCAAGTTTGTTGACTATGAGGTGACGCCAACACTTGAGGAAGTTACCAGCTTTACTAAGTTTCCATTCGCCGGACGGAAGCCTACACTTCTAGTCATTATGCCGAATCAAAGGTTTCTCTACGCACTAGGATTAAAGAGTAACAAGAATTTGAGAAGTGTCGAGGACAGATAGGTAAGCCTGAACCAGTTGTTTGATAGATTTTGGGCATCGAGAAAGCTATGATTGGCATCTTGAGGAATTTTAGTGTGACAAGGCAACATGGGAGAGCCTTCATCCCTTTTCCCTTTCTTTAGCACTATTGGGGCTTCTGGTTTTTCTGCAATTAAAGGGATGGATCAATATCAACATACTAACTTTGATCTTGGCCACATTCCAAGGGAGTCTGCAAGTCACTGTTGTTCAAATGCTATTGTTGGAGATGTTCAAGGCACTATTGGTGTGTTCGAGATGGTATGACTTATGTAAAGGCTACAACCAGCTGCTGTAAATATGGGCTATGGAGCATTTTTTCCAAAGGGAGCCAACCATCGACTACTTTATTGGCACTAGCAACATGATCCACAATTACGAGGAGAGTATGAGGCATTGGGAAATACCACATGCTCAAGAAGAATGGCGGGAATTCCTAACCCACCTCACGGAGAATTCATCAACTGGAAGTTTTCTTGGCTAAGTGGCAGAGTAATTGTAAGAGGTCCAGATAAGTATTTCATCAAATTGATGGGATTGGAAGGGATTCAACCATATGCACCGCTGAGGGTCCTAAGGCAGTTTGGCTTGATTCACGACGTACCTCTTTGGTCCCGAATGACTTTGTATGAAGACGACTGCAACAGGCAAGTTCCAATCCCGATGGTAAGGCGGCTTCAAGACGGTGGAGTGACCTAGTCACGATGGGTATAGGGAAAACCTCATGGTGTACACCCAAGTATTTTGTGTGGATTACTAAAGAAGATCGGCTGGCCAGTCCCAGTAGGGAAGGGTTAGCCGGGATGGAGGACTCAAGAGAAGCTTTGCAAATATACCATGAGATCCTGCCTCACTATCTCATCATCACTACCATGCATCAATAGGTAGTCCCGGGATCGGTCGATCACATGTTGCCGTCGGCTGATGAAGATAACCAAATTATGGAGTACATATAGATTAAGTCCGAGGAAGAACTAGAGGAGGATCCTGAGTATAATCTTGATTATGTCGAGGGAGAATTCGAAGAAGATCCAGAGTATGAGAGCTTGGGAGGAGACTCCGGGGGTGACTATTAAATTTGTTGGTTGATTTCATTTATGTACTTTTTAAATTCTCTAAGGGCAATTCTATAAGCCCGTGAAACCTTTGTGAACCCTGGAAAAATTACATTGTAGCCATTGTCAACTTCCCCTCATATTTTGTACCAGTAATGAAGTCTTTGTAACCCACATATAACCAGTGATTTTCCATCAATGAAACACCGAACTTTCTCCGGATCCGAATGTGTCAATATTTGGATATTTGTCAAATGCTTGTGATGTAGGACTACCTCCGGGAAAGAGAGGTCCCTGAATATTCTAGGAGCACACTTGTTCAAATAAGAGAATTAATTGCTTTATGTGATTATATGTGCAATTCCTGAACTAACTTCTACTTTTCTTTTGTTTTTCTGCTTTATATCTTTATTTATTTACCCCCCAAAATATAGGTTGATTTGTGTTGATATCTAAACTGGCCGAACCATCGTATAACCTAAGGTCCAAAGGAAAGATGATTGTTACAGATGACCCTGACCGGAAATGCTCTGGTGGTAGCAGACAACCCAGGGGGATCAGGGGAAGAGACGAAACTCAAAATGATGAACATTTTTCTCGGATGAAACAAGAAATTAAGTCATTAAGGGAGGAGGTACAACAGATCAGGGAGTTGGTACATCTGGACGTGACTATGCTTCCACAACCACCCCGCTTCCCATCGCTAGATTCCATCCCAACCACTTTCCTTCATCAACCCAACAAACTAGTAATACCGCAACTACTGTCACCACAAACCCCTGCCATAATCCAAGTCATATCGCCAGTTACCCCAGCAAACCCACCAAATCCTCTCATATACACACCTTATGTCCCTAACTACATTCAAGCTCCACAAAATCCACCAACTACCACAAATTTGACCCAAACCCCTCCTCGTGACAATGCCACTTTCACAAACGCCCACACACACTATATACCTGCGGCACACACCGCCACCCTTGAGCGATATGTTCCACCCATATATACCGCATCAGAACCCACTTTCACCATGACTGTCACGGTCAGGATGACTTATGAGATCAACCAATATGCTGAAATGGAAAGGGAAACGAAATCCAAAGAAGATGAGTCGCTGTCCGAATAACTACTGGTACTAAGGAAACAAATAAAGAACCTGCAAGTTGCTCGAGGGAGTGAGAGCTTTGATTATGTACACCCAGATGTTGATATGCCAGCAGGGTTCAAGCCTCCGAAGTTTGATATCTTTGATGGAACAGGCGATCCCCACGCTCACTTGATAGCATACTGTTACAAGCTGGTAGGATTAGGAAGGAATGAGAAGTTAAAGATGAAATTGTTCATTAGAAATCTGATCGGGGAAGCACTCACTTGGCACACTAGACATGAACCTAGAAACTGAAGAGAATGGCAAGACATGGTCGAAG